GGAGTCAGTACTTAGCTCTTGAACAAAATGAGCAACAACATATTGGCCAAGTATATATTTTTTATTATTAGCTATATAATTATCATATATCTTATGTGTGCTCATGACATTAAAAATAATGTTTATGTTTTGTAGCCCTCTGGATCGACATCAACAACTACAATGAATAGTAAAAATGTTCGAGGTCCCAAAAAGCCATTGGAGGGCCGCTTCATCATCTCGGAGTTCAATGTGGATACAAAGTAAACCGGGGCCAAATAAAACGAAATTCGTGCACCACTGTGGTTACCTTACCTTATGAGACCGGCTCCCGATCAAGACCATGAATGGAAGAAGAAGACCAATGCTCCTCATATCGGTTTTGTCTCCGATCGTAACAAGACGTTAATTTGGAAAGATGTCTTGGTACATTTCACGCTCCAAACAGATGGTTATGATGATATTATAGATGGTGATGAATTGAAGGAGCGAGTTAGGGATTGGGCAATGAAGAAGATGGCCACCCGGTTTCGGACTTGGAAGAAACACCTATACACGACGTATGTCAAGAAGAACATAGCACCGTAGATTTCTTTGTCTCGCACCCGATCTCAAAGCGAGAGGCCCTATTGGGATGAGTTTATACAATACAAGACATCGGAAGAGGGTGCGAGTCGGGTGATAAAGAACCAACGTAATGCCCAATAGAAGACATACCACCATAACTTTGGGATCGGTGGCTACCCGACCGCCATTAAGAAGTGGAACAAAATGGAAGCATACCTTCTTGCCAAGGGTATCACACCGAATCACTCGAGTGGGGAGAGCGTGCAAAGAATTGGTTTTTCGCTCATGGGGAACACTTTGACCAGAGACAGGGGAAGTGCGTTTATGGCGTAAGACGCAAGAAGCGGCGAAAAGATTGTTTTATGCTCGAGAGAGCTATCGCTAGTGGTGCGTTCAGGCCAACAGAGAGAAGGATGAGTGACATACGCCATCGGGACTATTGAACATGGTGGCGAACTAGAGGCAAAGGAAGTGTCTCGTGGGAGCATGGATTCCCTCAGATGCACCTTCCCTCTGAAGCCGCCAGAGAAAGAAGGAAGAAGAGGCACAACGGCTCTAGAGGTTGGAGGAAGTCGTGTGCGTGAAGCACGGGGCGGCGGGAAAAAAACCTTGAAGCGAGAATGCGGGAGGAAATCGGAAGGCAAGTGCAAATAGCGGTGAGTGCAAGCAAGCGAGCATCGAGCCGAGAATCAACATTAGCTAATCTGTTCAGTTGAAAAGCAGTTGCGCTTTCACGGAGATACCAAATCAAGGGGACACAGGACTGCGCTTCCCTGTGGATGACGTCACTGAACCTTGTACAACGTGTGAGCTACACATTCCGAAGGGGAATTCCACAATCAAGGTGGCTATTGGTCTTGTTAATCCTATCGACCGAACTAAGACACCAATGATTCATGGGAATATAATCCAAGAAGGATATGCTACCATCTCGGTAGATAAAGCTGAAAAAGGTTTTAGTGATTTGCCTCTTAACATTCCTGGAGGTGATGGCGAGAAGGCTCTAGGAGAAGCGGAGAAGACATTCATTCTATGGCGCAAGCGCTACATTATCATTCCAGGGATGTCGGCTCCACCTCCTCCTGAACTACCTCACCATAGGTACGTGCGGATGAAAATACTACATCATTAATTTGTATTGGCTTAAATAATTAATAATCTGCTCATAATAATATGTCATTCCTTTTTTTGTAGCAGATCCTCCCCCAACCTAAATCTAATTGTTCAATCGCCAAATCATCATAGTGCTCTGTACGATGACATTGTGTTGCAAGGCGAGGCTGCATCCACACCATCTCCAAGAAGGTCTCCAACGCCGCAACCGCCACCTCCAAGGAGGTCTCCAACGCCGCTGCCAACACCTCCAAGGAGGTCTCCAACGCCTCCCCCGCCCCCGCCTACCAAGAAGCCTAGCAAGAGGCCAGTCCCTCAAACGAAGAACCAGTCCCCGCCTGCAAAGAAAGCCACCGTGAAACCAAGGGCTATTCCCAAAATAATATCTGAAGAGAAGGAAAAAGGAACTGATGCATATAAAAAAGATATGTCTAGATTCTATGACAAACTTAAAAAGAATCAAGAAGCAAGGAGAAACCCGGAGAAACCGTACTTATTAGTAGCTCCAGATATTCTAAGAAAAAGGGTGGCTTCTTACTAGCAACAACAGCGGGAATCTCGTAAGCCGTCCAAATCAACGTTATCGGACTATGACCGCACTCTCACCAAGTCAATTGAGGTGGCATAGAAAAAGAAGCGAGCAGGGAAAGGAGTTGCCCAACTCGGACAACAAGCACACCAATCAGTCCCCTCGCTAGTTGTTGGTAATGAATATGGTTCGAATTTAGGATTAATGCATTAGGCAAACATACCTCCGGATGTCGATTTGGATCACCTTGGTGAATTTATTGATGAGACTGGTCTCGACCTTTACCAGATGTTTGGTGATGAAAACATTGAGAGTGCGGCGGAGGTTGATATTTGGAAGAAAAAAATTTGTACTAGGCCAGAGTCTATACAACCCTCAAGCCTTATCTGATCTGGGGACGCAAATGTACCTGCTAAACAAGTGGTACATGCAGGCGTCTACCGGTGGAGACTTCTGCGTTGGTGTCAGAATTAGAGACGAACATTGGTTCCGTGGCGATGATGTTATGTATGTTGACTTTGCAGAATTTCATCAACTATGCCACCTGACCTCTCTGGACAAAGTTATCATTAGCTGCTATTGCCTGTAAGTAATAATTCTTTCAATTTATTATTAAACTCATCATATGTGTGTATATGCATATAAATTATCCTAACAAGTACTATATATATGTAGATTTACAATGACAGAGCTCAGAAAGGAAGACTGCAATGAAATTGGTTTTGTTGATCCCTATATAATATTTAAAGACCCAATTACTCCAAAGACTAATTGGAAGTCTGAGTCAGAGAGTAACCTCATGAACTTCTTAGTGAACCAACGCCACAAGAAGGATATACTCTTTCCCTATAACTTCAAGTGAGTGTTAATAATATCGATCATCCTTAATGGCTCATATGTTGATTCTAGTTAATTAATGAGTGTTATGCGTTATATCCTATAAACACATGCAGCAATCACTGGATATTGATGGACATCGATCTGGTGAAAAGTCACTTGATAATCTATGACTCGATGAGAAAACCACAACAAGACTACCAAGATATGATAGATATTATCCAGATATAATTTCGGGATCTCTAGCAACTATATATACACACAAATATGATGATTAACTATATCTGATGATGTGGCAAATTTTTTATTGGGCAGTATTTGGAAAACCTTTATTGAGAAGCAACACATGGAAAAATGCAAAGCGCCACTGAATGTAATCCCTTTGAAAGTAAGTCCCCTTAATCGCATCATCTTTATTAATTAAACATATAGCTTTCACCGGATCACCAGATTGGATGACAAATCTTTTTCTCGTAAAGTGGTGTCTGAGGCAAGAACAGGGGAACAACTACTATGGTTACTTGTTTGCAAGTTTATCAAGGTAATCTCCCAAAGAACTCCTACAGAGAGACTCAAAGTACGTTAAAAATACACTATATATTCATTTAATTATTATTATTGATTGTGTTACTATGTCTTTATATAAATATATGTACATATATTAATTTATTTTCCTTTAATTCAAACCTGTAGACTCGATGGTTGGAGGAAAAGGTCATACGGCAAGACCAAATCAAAGCAATTCAATAGTCTATAGCCGGATTTTTTAATGAGCAGGTCATCGATTCCAAGGACGAATTCTACTTCGACCCAACACTGCCATGGAAACCAAGCTAGAGGATGAGAGAAAACTTGTTATATCACAACAACTGTAATACAATCTTTTTGTAATATATGCACATGAAATAATATAATGTAAAATACACATATGCATGCATCCATGTAAATATATATACGATGCATGCATGCATATATATATATATATATATATATATATATTTCTATGCTTGAATTGTGTGATTTAATACGTTAATTGTGCTTGAACCGAAACATACTATACGCGCGTATAAATATATAATTAGCAGCGTACAATACGACTTCGAAAACAAACAAAAAAAGAAAAAAAAAACCTTTAGTCCCGGTTCGTATTACCAACCGGGATTAAAGGTGCCGGCCATCGTGGCATATCAGGAGGCACCTTTAGTCCCGGTTGGTATTACCCACCAGGACTAAAGGGGACTAAAGGACCCCTTTAATCCCAGATGCTTACTCCCGAGTGGGGAACCGGGACTAGAGGGGGTTCCCCACTGAAAATAAAGCTCGGTTCTCTACCAGTCCAGTGGACGGTGCACCAAGAAATTAGCAACGGGCCAACGCAGGCCAGGATCGGATATGCTGCCATTTGGGCGGCACGGCAATGGACATTGCCGGATCAGAGGTGCCGCGCAAGGCCGACGATGCATTCCGATCCCATTGAATATACAAAGGACTCCGTACGTCGCTGTTACACGCTACCAGCTAACCAAATAGCATCGAGGAAACGGCAGGCTGGGCAGCCGGTTTGTGCCAGGAACGCATCGACGAAGTCCAGAGTCCAGACAAGAAATTAGCAAAGGTGAACTGATTATTGGAGAGATTGTTACATCGATCCTACTATATTAAAATCCTGGCCGCCTTAATACCGTGTAAGGCGGAGTGCCCAGATAGGATGGCTTAATCCTGGCCAGGATCGGCTTCATTGTTAATGTTAACGTGATACATTAATCAATGCAAATGGTGTTGGCATTATTTGTCACTTGTCAGGTTGTGGCTTGTGGCCTGAGCGGACGACGGCACTGGACCGTATGCGGGTAGTACTATAACTGTGAGGAACGAAGTAGTCCCACCGCAGTAGGGCGGCAAGCGGAGGCAGCTGTGGTCTCATTTGCAGCGTAGCGTGAATTGCCGCCGGCGGCCGGCCGCGCCGGAGTGCAACATGGCGGGAAGACGGAGGCACGACGACAACCCGTTCGAGGAGGGCGACGGAGACGTCGTCGTCAACCCCTTCTCGGTACGTAACTCACGCTCACGCAGCGTCGGTCCACTCGATCGTCCTCCTCGACCCCTGGGCCCTGGGTCGTTTCTCTCTAATTTTAACCAGCTCGTACGTCTGTCTCTCGTGATCAGGCGATGATTGCTGCTTATTTATTTCCTTCCTGCAGTATAAGGTGTTGTTGGTTTAGAGATCGAGTCCCCAAATTTGAAGATTGTCGTCCCTCTCGCTCAAAATTAGATTATTGATTACATGTGAACGTATGACTGGATAAATCAAGCTTTGATAGTTGGAATCTTAGTTTCGATCGAAGAGAGTTTAACGTTGATTTCGCTAGTTTACTATGGCCCCGTTCGCTGGTCTGAACTTTGGCTGAAACTAGCTGAAAATACTGTTCCGGCTGAATTGTTGTGAGAGAAAAACACTGTTCTAGCTGAAAAAACAAGTCGAATAAGCCAAATTTAAGACAAGCGAACGGAGCCATAGTAGAACAAGAAAGCTAGATCGAGTAAACTCTTGTGCTTTCGTATTTCCATGTTCGATCCGATTGTTTTATATACTAATATAAACCCTGAAACTGAAACGATGGCAGATTATTGCAAAGTCCTCTCTTTTCAGTTGTGGAAACTCCCGGAACTATTTGGCTCAAGTTTGCCTAACATTCTTCTAAACTTGCCAAAACGACTTGGTGAGAAAAATGCAACGGTGCCAACCACAACTCAGGTTGTCCAAAGAAATCTTGCCCCAACTTATTGTGTCAGTAACATATGGAATTAGACAAAAAAAAGGGCAGGTCATGACTAACTTGAGTTTATATACACCTATGCAGTAGAGTTGTTTATGCATGCAAACCTCGGGCGTAAGTGAGTGTTTACTATATATATATATTATTGTAATTTTATGGGTTTGATTGGAAAGATCAAGTCGACACCTACTCTCTCTCAAATCCAAATTATATATCACTTTATTCTAACTAGCAAACGTGCCCGTGCGTTGCGACGGGAGAAAAAAAAACTATCAAATTTTCATAAAAAAATGAGAACCGGAATGATACATAGCTATTTATGTTTTACTCTTTTTATAAAATTTTAAAGCTATAGTTTATTTTATGATGACTATGACATTCATAATATAAACTAATACTATATCATTTTAATTTTAAACTATCCATGCATCTTCTTTTGTGGATATATAAAAATTGTAATTCCAATCTCTAATTAAAGCCGGCAAGAAGTTGGTTGGGGAAATATCTAGCACTTGTCCGTTGGTTAATGATTATTATGATGGGAGACCACCCTCGGTTTTTCATATAGCAGTCCTCGTGTAAGATTACATTAGTACACGCACACAATTTTAAGTCACATTTATTTAGACTATTGTAGTTCACAATTTGATTAGTTAGATCATCGATTGAATCAGACTATATAATAAGATAATTTTTGTTTCAAATGAAAATTGCATTAATAACTTTATTAGTAATGTAAATTTCTATTTTCTAAGGAGATCAAGGTTCAACTGCTCATAATATTATTATATCTATTGTTTTTAATATTTATATGTGAAAAAGAAAAAAAGAAAAAAAAAAGACGTAACTAATCCCTCGTACGGGACGAAGAAAAAAAAAGACAAATACAGATAAACTTTTCTACGCTAATAAGGTAGACGGAAAAATGACATGTTGATTGCCCTGATGGCTTTGTTGCAGTTTTGAACGTTTGATTCGCTTGAGTAATTTAATTGTTTAAATGATGTGCAGCGGCTTATATATTTAATTCTTTTGGTTAGTCCTATCTACGGTTCAGAGACGAAGAGCATCTGGAACCGGTGAAAATCGATATTTGTTATCGTGACGACGGGCCAAACTCATTAGATTTGTTTCGATTTGGTCCGGTTGTCTCGTTTTGATATCGATTGGTACTCGATTTAGAAAATCTTTCCTGTGTCGGTCTCGAACTCTTCATTTAGCGCCCCTGTACGACCAGCTACCAGCAGTATGTTCGGGAGGCCGTATCGTATCGTGGATTATTTACTGCTGGCTGGTTTGGTGTGAGAGAAAAACACTGTTCCCGGCTAGAAATTTACGATCGTTTACGAGCAAGCGAATAGGCTAGATAAGAAAATGTGACCGACGGACGAGAAATTGAGGGTATTTTAGCAATATAAATTAGGATTGAGAGTGATCTATTTGGATTAGATTCCTATAGCTATCTATAGATTAGTTCAAATCTGTGTCCAAGCCGTATCTACATTTACGGAGTTAGGGGATCCAATTCCTATTCAAGTTACCAAGCATCGAACTAAGATCTTATTCCTATTCAAGTTACCAAGCATCGAACTATTTGTATCAGGAAGGTGGACCAAAAAAAAATTGGCTGGATGTATTATGTCATGGGAAGTAAAAAGTCGGGTCGAAAGAGACGTTTTGCTATATAGAAATAAATGAGATTTTGTATAATTTATTTTTCTATTTGAATAAGAATTCCTATTCCTATTCAGTTTATTCACGCTCGGAGATATCTATTTATCCTAATTATCTAGGGCCATATAAGTTTCGATGGAAGAAACCCTCGACTACATGTAGTTAGGAGGAGGTGGACGAAAAAAATTACCAGAAATTTTGCCTCTTTATTATTAGGTATATAGATTTAAACTTTATCTAACTTTATCAAGTTTTTAGTCAAATAGATACACACTATCAAGACACATTCCATAGAAAAATATATTAACATTTACAACTTTATCTAACTTTAATATAATCAAGTTTTTGGTTGCTTAAGCTTTATAGGTCTTTGTTGCTGTGTTGTCTTTGTTAATTCTGTGTCTTCTCTTTTTTTAATATAATTGACAACTCTCTGACTGATAATTTTTTAAAAAAATAGAAAATTCAATAAAACTAACTTCATGGTGTAAATATTGTGCATTACTGCATTTTTCTATAAACTTACTTATATTTGGAGAAATTTGACTTAGAATAAAATTAAGTGACCTATAATTTAGAATGGATTATATTCAAAGAAAGGCAACATTTCTAATTGTGTGCCAGTTAAAACTAAAATAGGCATTTTTTCCGCCTCGCCCATGGATATGGTCTTTAGTTTTTTATGAGGTCATACTGCTCTTTGTATTTAGTTATTATGAGTTTGTGTTTATTTTCACTTTTTAATAAAATACTAGCAGATATGCCTGTTGCAACTCCTCAACCGGATGCCTTTGTCTAAAAAAATCATTCCATATTAATCCATCTGATTCTGTTTTCAGAGAAAGGCAATATCATTCCATTTTAATTTTTGTAGAGGAAATATAAGTCGGCTGATAAGCTGACTGAAGCTGATTTTTTATGAGGAGAAAATACTGTAAATTTTAACTGATAAGCCGGCTGATAAGTTCATATGAACATGCCCATAATTTCTTTTAGATAGACGACAGGGAGCATGGGCTCATTACATTTTAGGCCCAAGCGAACAAACGGGCTTGAGTTCTACTAGGCTCGAGTCAAGCCGGTCGCCGGCCCAGCAGCCTGCTCGTCTCGCATCCTAGTCCGGCGGGCGGCGGCTGCTCCGGTCTCCGGCGCACCGCGTGCCCGGCGGCGACATCCAAACTGCGGTGCATAGTCACTGGGTAGTTATTAGCCCACCCATCTCAGACGCTGGCTTCGCGGTTCTCCCTCCGCACGATGGTGCGGGCGGCACAGCAGCGGCGCGCTCTCTGGAGGGTGGTCGGCTATGTCTACGGCGCGCGCCGCCGCGACAGCGGTGACCTCTCGCCGCGCCGGAGGTACTTCGTTTGCGGGATTCGGTATTGATTAGAAGAACCTCGTCACGTATGATGTATCCACTATGCTTTCTCCACTTTCAGGTCGGATTGGGTCTTTTGGCTTGGCTGTAATATACCTGAACATTGCACGGAGTAACAAAATGCCCATTAACAAATTGCGCGATTATCTTAGCTGTTACCTGTTATGTTCTTCCTGCTCTTCACATGATTGGGCGTTTCTTCCGGAGATTGCCTGATTTCTCACGATCCTGTACATCTCTTTGAACCCAGCTTAGTTTCCGCTTAACTCACTTCTCTACTATTGTATAAGAAATAAAATTTCTTAAACTTGGTCTGATGTTGCTACTAGGGAATCTATATACAGTGTACCCATATGTCTTCCATGCTGTGGTTTGTTCTATCGTATGATTCTTTAGCCCATTTATTTCGTTGATGTATCAACTTATTACAGACTTGCAATACAAAACGTATCATAGCAGTCAATCAAACACGTGACAGACTGACACCATAAAACTGTACTTCTACATATCTTACTCATTTGTGTTATGCCTTGGCAAAACAGAAGACGAAAATATGTTGTGAATAGCACATAGGCATGTGGATTGCGGACACACTTGCCAAGCTCTGAATCAAAATTTAAAAATTTATTATGGGACCAAAATTATTTATGCGTGTTTCATTATCTTTGCTTTGGCTCATTATTACTGTCTAAGGATCATATCTTTTTGCTCATGTAGCATCCACGCCCAACTCCGCTCCCTCCTGAACCAGCTGGTTTCTACAATGATATTGGTGCATCTGTAGATATCCCACTTGATAACAAAAAGGTAGTTTGACTGCTTGAATTGCTTGGTTACCTATCGTTTACTACTATTTTAGCCTTTTTCATTGATTTTGTACTATCTTTCAATCATTATGCAAAGCATCAAAATTACACATGTATGTCCACCTGATGTTCGGTTCCCATCATTCCATGTTTCCACTGTAAGCTAACAAATAAGTTTGCTATCTTTCTTTTTATTGAACCCATGGTTGGTTCTTATATGTGTCCTACGAAGTCACTGCTATGTCGTGGTATTGCAGAAAAGAAAAACTACCATGCAAGTGTCTGTACTCTGTAGGAATGTGATAGAAAACTCCATAATATTCTAAATAATTCTATTTGGGAAGCAGTTGTAAAACAGACAACTATTTGGAAGGCTGATAAAAAGGCTAGAAGTTAGGTTCAGGCTAAAGAGGAGGGATTAGAGACTAGTTTTCCTTTTCTCTTAGCAGTTTTCCTCTATGTTTCTTTCTTTCAATATCAGTATATCAGATCCTTTTGTGAGTTTGTCTACACAATCCAGGACCTCAAGAAAAAGGAGAGGGAACTTATGGCTAAAAAGGCGGAGCTAAACAGGAGGGAACAGGTATATACTAGTTAAGTCGAGTATATGATCTACCATTTACTGTTATTGTTTTATAAAGTATGCAACTAACTTTACACAGTTTTGAACTTTAGCATTTATTATATTGTGTAACTTTTTGTTCCTTTCTCTAGGAAATAAAAAGAAGGGAAGAAGCTCTTGCGAGAGGTAACCTTAATTTTATTTTGTGCATGTACCAGTTTTCTTCGGAAATGTCCCATGATTTTATATTATCACCCCTCTTTTACATGCAGCTGGAGTTTTAATAGAGTCCAAAAACTGGCCACCATTCTTCCCCATCATTCATGTTGACATTTCAAATGATATACCCGTGCACTTGCAGCGAGTACAGTATGTCTCTTTTGCATCACTCCTAGGTATGAAGCTAGGAAATGCGTGGATTAATTAAAAACTGCCCTCTTTAAGGATTACTGGCTTCCAAAACTATTGTAACTAATACTTTTTGCAAAATTCTCATGCAGGGTTGGTCATATGCCTCTTCTGGAACATTTTATGCGTAACTGCTGCTTGGATTACAGGGCATGGTATGTTCATAAAAAAAAATATTTATGTGCTTCTAATAATCATATTATTTAAATTTGTTATTCCTGCTAGTTAGTATGAATGTTCTTCCATGCAGATCCTAGGATCTGGTTTCTGGCAGTCATATACTTCATTACTGGATGCCCAGGTGCCTACTTTTTATGGTACCGACCTCTTTATCGTGCCATGAGGTACTATATTCCTACTGAGCTTCCAAAACTATTTTTTACAAAGTTTCTGTAAAACCATAAATTCACCTGATATTATAATGCTTTCACCAGGAAGGATAGTGCGTTCAGCTATGGATGGTTCTTCCTATTCTACTTTGTAAGATTTCTGTGTAAAACAAGATCCTTTGTATGGTCTCCTTGTTGTTCCATGGAGTAGAAAATCTGCTCATGACTTGGTATTGTCTCTGCAGTTTCACATTGCCTTCTGCATATACGCCGCTGTTTCTCCGCCATTCTTTTATGTGGGAAGATCATTGGCGTAAGTCTTTTGATAGCATAAGCTCTTTTCACATAGACACTCAAGTTTACATGTTTGTTATTTTACAAATACATGTTTCTATGAAGTAATTATTGTAAAATCGGGGCTTTTCTTAGAATATGTTGAATATAAGTAAAGGTTGCTTTGTTGTATCCAGTTTTATAACGCAGTGTGATAAGCTTGCTAATTTATTAGCTTTCTCGTGTGCATTATCTCGCTATTCGAACTATAATTTGCTTCATTTGTCTTATCTTATTATTTGCAGCGGAATTTTTCAATCGATCAGCGAGATAGGAGAGAATGCTGGTGTTGGGGTGAGTTGATACTATGTTAATACATGTACCATGAAAATACGAGGAACTAGAAATGATCAGTTGTCTTTACCTTCTATCAAATCTAGACATAAATCAGAATCAAATCGTTACCACTCCAGTCTCCAGTTCCCTTTGTCAATATTTCTATGCTTAGCTAGTGTAATAAAATATCAAGCTTGCTTTGCCACTGTTGTCCATCCCATAAAATGGCTTGAGCAGAACTAGTTACCTACTCCTTCAAGTTACTGCTGGAACCTGAACCATTGGCATGATTTTGTGAATGCTTTTCATGTGACATGTTCTTGAGACTGGGGTGCAGGGAGCGATTAGGGAATAACATCTGTGGCAACCATTTCCATGAGTTTCACACCACTGATACCTTTCGTGGCTGACAAGTACCTTTGCTTTCAGATAATGTACTTCATGGGATTCGCGTTGTTTGTGCTGGAGGCACTGCTGAGCATCTGGGTTTTCCAGGTAGGAATATACAGCATACATACACTTGAAAACATTCCTCCGACAAGTAAAACTGATGGGTTTTGTTCTGCAAACGTTTGTTTTTGTGGTCTGCAGAAAGTGTACTGGTTCTTCCGCGGGAAAGGCAGTGAGGCGCAGATGAGGCCTGACGCCGCGTCTCGTGCGCCACCGTTCTGATGCCTTCTCCCCTGTAGTCCCGAACCAGGAGAGAAGAGGAATGAAGTATATGTGAATTAAGTTTGGTGTGACCGAGTGAACGCTGATTTTCAGCTGTTGGAGGAAGCAGTTTCGGGGTGCAAGCGCTACTTGTCAATTGCAGGTTGCAGCAGCGCCAGGCGCACAGCTGTAGCTGCTATTTTTGCCTTGTGGGGTTCCTTTCTTATCTGAAACGAAACTGAAATCCCCCGACAGCCGAAACAGAGAAAATGGAAAGACAGCCCCCGCATGTGGCCCCCGGACGCTTGACTTTTGCCCTTTCGGCAAAGCACGATAGCATACTGCTTGCCTGTGCTCATTTTTATATATTTTTTTGTGATTATGAACTCACATAGCGTTTTTCGCTGTAATCTGGCGAGTTTTACTTTTACACGTGGTCACACCCAATTTTAAGGGTAAAATGGGATGTATAATCTTATGTGCGTTCAGAGATCAGTCATATATATAAGCAGATAAATTATAAATAGTATCATCACAAGTGTTTAATACATCATGAATAATAAGATAGAGTCTTCACATAAATATAGCGGAAGTATAATGATAAATCTCTCGTGGAAGTTTCATAACACAGGGACGTTAACTGGTTGACCACAAGTCTAGTAATTTTCAGAAAAGTCGTTATTACCGTAGTCATCTGTTACCCATTTGGGATTTTATCCAAATAATAAAAATAAACAAGCGTAAGTACATGTCGTACTCAATAAGTGTAACATAGAGTTCATGAGGCTCAAAAAGCTTGACACGGGTTTCACAGCATTTAGCTTTTAGTTGTTACAATTTTAACATAAGAGTAGCAACAAGTTATTTTAAACCCATAGTAAAGCACATGATCAAAGTAAACATGAATAATAAATATCATAAATAGATACTTCTTAGTGATCGTCTGTTTCATAAGGGTCCAAGGCCGTCGTGACCGTGAGCACGGCTAATATATTAGTTTTACACTCTGCAGAGGTTGTACACTTTCATTGTGAGACGTGATACACATATGCCCGGGTTAATTAATCCTAAAACACTTCCAAGATGAGTAGACATGGGTCACTATGAAGCCTTTCAAAGGTTCGTCTAACAAGTTAGGGCTATTAGATTCCCTCGGTAAACAGATATAGAGCCCCCCTTCTCGATGGTACATTGACGCGCAGCCTATACATATAGGGACAGAGGCCGCACTATAGCTGATTCGGTAAGCCATTCTTACGCCAATAAAGGTAGCCTCTGACAAGCTAGAAAATGTTCTCATACTGAACTAAAGACAGAGCCATATAGCCCTCATAGTTGTACTGTAAGTCCCAGTTGTTCGCTTACAGATAAGCCCTTAGGAAGAGGAATCTAGAGCATTTAGGAATTAGGTAAACACTCCAGCCCCCTATTTCTATGTTGCTAAAAAGTCATGTTTTAATGTTTATTACATATACCATTAGTCAAAGTTACAAGATTATGGTTTAATCGAGCACTAGCAAAGCACCCAATGCATATCCTATATGAGAAAGGTATAAGTTCAATTCTAAAAAATCCTTATCTAGGTGACACATGCAATCATGAATTAAATGTATTAAGGTGAATAGAAAATAAGGATAATCCCATGCTATACTTATATTGAACAAAATACTCCTGTTGATCCTGCTCGTCAAAGTAATACTCTTGTTCACCTACGAATTGCTCACCGTCTATACTCGATAATCACAGCAACATACAAGCATCCAAAAGCAATCATGCATAGCAAACAAAAGCTATATATTAGAACAGTACACCAATCAGCATAAAATCAAGATGAAAAGTTTATAAAACGATTCTACGTCTCGCTATGAACACACAGACTCGAGTGATCTAACTTTGCATCGTCGCTAAGATCGAGTGGCGTGGCAAGTTGAGTGGCTAACATCCTTTGGGAAATGATTGTGAAAATGCTAACACACATACACATGGTGGTGTACACTTGGTGGTGTTGGCACATTTACAAAGGAGGTGGTGTTTGCAGGGGTGAGATGGGTTTGGGTCCCTCTCGGCGGGATTCGGCGCTTTCGGGAAAATAGAATGCCTATTTTCTATTGCGCCGGATGCAAGTTCTTGTGGTTAGCACATTGGAGCAAGGGTGATGAAGTTAGAAGTGAAAACGAAGTTAGTCGCGAAGATCTTTGGCGTCGGTCAATCGACCGAGACGCTGGATCTGAAATGCACCGGACGCCGGGCGGTGTCGCCCGGTCAGCCGACGATCGATGACGCAGAAGGCTGGAGTGTGACCGGACGCTGCTGCGTCCGATCAAAATGTGACCGGACGCGTCCGGTCGAGGTCGGTACTATATTGAAAACGACCGGACGCCGGGGTTCAGCGTCCGGTCGCTTGAAAGCTGCGTCCGGTCAAGTCAAGTGACCGCTGAAATTAGGACACGTGGTGCGTCTGCGGGCGACCGGACGCCGAGGTCCAGCGTCCGGTCAACACGACCGAAAGCGTCCGGTCGGCCCGACCGCTGCCCGATGAAGGGTAACGGCTAGTTTAGCCCTTGGGGCTATAAATAGAAGTGGCCCTCGGCCATGGCTGGTGTTGAGCACCTCAAGGGACTTAGTGTCCATGCTTGTGAGTGCTTGGAAGCCCTCCATCACACACATACTTGATAGCGATCATCCGATTGTGTGAGTGAGCGATTCTAGTGCGATTGCATCGTGAGGTTGCATCGAGTGGCACTAGGTGATCGAGTTGCGAGCCGGTGGTGCTTGTTACTCTTGGAGGTTGCCACCTCCTAGAAGGCTTGGTGGTGGTCTCCGTCGAAGAGCGCAAGAAGCTTGTGCGGCGCTCCGGAGAAGTGCTTGTGAGGGGCATTGTGCTCGCCCCGCGGGAGCCGCGAAGAGCAACTCTAGTAAAGCGTGTCATTGAGCTACCCTCACTCAAGGGGTAGGTTCTTGCGGCGCCCGACGTGCGGGCTTAGCGGGTGATGCTAATTAGCCGCCGAACCACCAAGTGAGCGGTCGACACAACGGGGACTAGCGTGTTGGCAAACACGTGAACCTCGGAAGAAAAATCATCGTGTCAATCTTGTTCTTCCCGTTGGTTTGCATCCCCATTACACAAGTGTTGACACAAAATGTGGACCGCATGCATACACACAACAAGCCAAAAGCGTGGCTTCAATCGGGTGCCGGGTGCTTCGTGATCCGAACGTGCCGGTCGGTTTGACTGAAAAAAACCGACAAGGGATAAAACAGTTAAATGTCAAACCGGAACATGTCGGGTGAGACCGAGATAGTTCCGTATATATCTGACCCACGAAGCCACTTACAACGACATACAGCTATAGGAAGCTGTCTGCCAACAAGTTTATAAATCATTCGGCTAATCGTAGGATGGACATACGTAAAGATCTGATTGCCGAATGCATATGCATGGGAAGACATGTTTGAACAAGTGAAATTGATTATGCGTTAATGCATATCCAAGCTCAGCAATCCAGCCGAGTTGGGGTCCATGAAGAAGGAACGTGTAGATAAACACGATTAAGCCAATCTAAAACTGCGTCTGCCGCACGACACCTAGTTTCGTCAAAAACTTAAACGTGATTAACATACATGAACCCACAACATGTGACAATCTAGATTAAAATAATTCAGCCATTACGAGCATGTTATCTATTTGCAAAGGTATTATGAAAGTAATGATCATTGAAGCTCGAATAAAACCATAGAAGAGGGCCGAACAATATCAATCTAGATTGGGCAAAAGTGTGTTACAAATATATAAAATATTTAAAACATGCAACACAGGATAACTTGATGAATCTATTTAGATTTTGCCGTAATCTAATAGAGCCGATAACCTGCATCTTGCTTCCACTAAGCATATTGAGCAAACGCTTTTGCCGCACGGTATCTACTCATAAACAAAGTATAAGCAAAGACTTCTTGATTGTCAAGCAAAGATCCGCGCATACGATCATTGAAAACAAACAAGACTACTTGCATCACGTCTAAATCCACCGCATGATACTAAACATGATAACAAGGTTGCCGGAACTTACGGAGGTCGACGGATCGATGACTCCTCTCGAAGAACTCGGCGACACGACAAAAGGACTCGAAAGTTGGCACGGGGCGGTTGTATTGATTTGGTTGTGAACGCCTATTACAATGGTCGAGGTCAATATTTATACCCTAGACGAAAACACGAGTCCTAAAGACTACGATTTACAAAGGAACTCTTAAACAAACTTGGAAACTACGATTCCTTGCCCCAAACTCTCGAGTCCTTTATTATTACAACTTTCATCTTTTCGATCGGCTTTGCTTGCCATCTTCTCGCTTTCCGAATGGAGTCACCACCTTCTGAAGTAACCGACCGCAAAAGCATTTAGCCGACCGCTTCGTTTGTTTGCGAATGTCCTTCTTCCCACATGCGGGCCCACCTTGACTAGCCGATCTTGGAAATCTTCCCCACAAGGGCACAGTAACATGTACGTATATATTTGCTTGGGCGCATCTTTATTGGCTTGCATCTTCACTAATCACTACGCCGGCAACTGTGGATCGTATTATTTCCTTCATGCATGGACTCTTTCTTTAATCAAGAAGCTTCACATCTCCATCCAAAGATATATTTGATTTATTTCCTTATGCAGCCCGGCCAAACAAATATTAAAATATCCCTTCCTCGTTAAGCGATCTTAATCTTGCGGCATCCATGTCAAGCATAGCTCAGATATAACACTTGGCCTCTCATCCTTTTCCATTTACCTTGCCGGTTGCCCAATAATGCATCACGTATATGTAACAAACAAGATGGTAGGCACATCGAATCGCCAAATTGTTTGACCTTTTCTTTGCTCCCCATTAATTTACGAGCATGAACGACTCCATCGTATATATATCTCATCGGCTTTGAGTCATGGTCATTATCGAGATTTTCTTCTTTTTACGTTACCGGCCGCTTTCTTCCCAATTACCAAATTTTGGTGTCAACACGAGCCCCCCTA